CATGCATAATTGTTGAATGAATTGAATGTTCTACCTCAGATTTGAGAATCTGTTTGGCTTCAAGTGTTGACCATAGTTTTTTAACCACAATTAACCATCAAGTTTCTTCAAATTTCAGTCAGAAGCAAAAATAAGCCTTTAAATTTGAAAGAATTAACAATTTGAAACATATAAGGATAATTATTAACATCGAAAGATATGAAACTTTCTATTGTGGTAACATTTTTGACCATATTGTCTGGGTACATGATGCTCACACCCATTTGTGTGAATAGCTAAATATCGCACATGTGTTAAGAACCAAAGTGCTATTCACTTTGGTTTCAATCCAGAGTATACAGTATACCCAACTCCTGACATTGCTTCTAGGGTGACAAAGTCTGCAGTCCGTAGTATGTTTGACACTGTATCTTCTTGTGAAGTCCTGCTGCCCTTGTATCATGTATCAGCATTAGCTGGGAAACTGGAAACTGATCACCAGCAAACACTCTGATTATTGTGATTCTCGGAACAGTGGAAGCTGCATAAAGTTGTCAACAAAACACAGATTTACCATTAAATTTGCTTGGCGAGTTCTCAAATGTTTACAGTTTGTCATGTGTTTGTATGGTCATATGTCAGTTTACTATAATCTGCAAAGAACTAACAACCAACCAATCATCAATAACAACCCAAGAGGAACACAACATCCTGCAGTGTTTGTAACGTGGGCAGCACTGGAATTGATGTCCTCACGATATACAAGGACATGCATGTCTAACTAGATGTTAAGCCTAAATACTAGAACTCACCACAATGCTACAGCGTGCGTGCGTAGCTTTTACTTAAAACTATATCTTTACCATGACCCTGCAGTTCTGAGAAGCCTGTGTGTGGTCACTTAAAATAGCCCTGATAGGAGCCTGACGACAGCCGCAGTCTTTACAGAACTTTGGCAGGCCTGCAGCATTCACACACAGAAGGAAGCAGCTTTGCAATGCCAAGCTATAATATGTGCACAAATCCATGATGCCAACATGCCTTTAACGTGCACAAGCAACAAAAAGTGTGAGACAAGCAGACACACACCTCTCTCTACTTATCCAGCTCATAGCTCTATGCCAGGCACTGAGAATGCAGCCATGTGATGGTCCCACAAACATGACAGCCTAAGATTGATGAACGCCTCACATGACACACTTGACTAATGAAAGTACACAGTGGAGGAACGACGCCACGCCAATCAGGAACCTGAGACACTACACTGAAAGCGTCAAGGAAAAAGTGTCACTCTAAAGAAAACTGAAGTGGTGTAAAATTTTGCAAAATAATACATTTTCACAGAGGGAGGAGGATTCTGAGATATGTTCTACCCAGAGGTATGCAAAGTCAAATGTTTTTCCTAACATTAAGTGTGAAATATTCATATACAAGTGAATCGGTATTACCTTATTGGTATAAAACCTCAGAAAAAAATACTTAGCTTTCACTTTTTACAAACACATCTTATTTGGTTATTGAGGTGTGTGTAAAAACAAATAGGCACGCCCTTCCCATGCTCTCTCGCTTACACACACTCCCTCCTTTTTGTGCCTCAGCACAAACACAGCTATATTGAGCTGTATGGCCGGGGTCAAAAGGAAGTTTCCTCAGCGGGCAGCAGTGGCAGGGGGCAGTCTGGCCGTGGGGGGAGGACAAAGTTATTGGCTGACGATCAGGCCTCTGACTGGCTAAAGGACGAGCCAGAAGCTCTCAGTGTAATGTACAGTATGCTGTCCCTTGTCAGGTGCTGCAGCCAGAGAAACAGGAGAGGCTTTTTAGGCTTTCCTCCCAGGGTCAGCCAACCTGCTGCCCTCCGTGGTATTCTGGAGGGTGCAGTGCTGTGTTGTGACAGCGCTTTGGGGGATGCGTTATGCAGGGCAACAAGGGTTGTAAAACAGCAAAACTTTTTTGTTTATCACTTGCGAGGCTTTTGCTGGAGTAGAACCCAGTTAGAGACAGTTTAAACATTATAAAGCCCAACCCTTTTTGGGGGCTGATGCCTATAATGATATTTGGATGTTAAAATAAAAAACAAGCAAAAACACACATACATCAGTGCATTACTCCACAAAAATACCAAAAGTAATAAAATACTAAATGCACTAAACAAATTTAATATGCTAATAGTAATAGTTTGTTATTGTGATTATCTTAAACCCACACCATCTCCGATCCATTAGTGACAAGTAAAGATTAGTTTATCCTATGGGCCCTTCTCATATATTGGTCTAGCTTTTAGATCTAGTCAGTAACATCGAGCTTGAGATTCTAGGAGAGATCTAGGTCAGATTTGGTTAAAATGTGATGGGGGTTTTCAATACTGTCCAGTAATAAAAGCTTATGGGAGCTCTCACTCCAGTGTGCGGTTACTTTTCTATTATTTTTATTATGGACACCATTATTCTGGGAGAACCTGACAGGGGTGTTCCAAGTGAGTACCTTCAAAGCCTTATTACCCAGCCAGCCTGATTCATAATATCAGCTCTCTTATATAAGCAGCCCTGAGTGCAAACAAATACAAGTCAGGAAGGTCAGCTGCAGTTTTTAAAAAATTCACTCTCAGCTGAAGATCAGAATATTGTGAACGTCATCACCTCCACAGTCCAACTCTGTCAGTTGTCTCCAGTCATAGCTTATCCACTCCTCTCTTTATTCTACCCTATTCCTGCTCTCACCCCAGTGTCCTCACACATCCATCTCCCCGTCTCCTTGCTTTCGTCTTCTCACAGTTCTGCCCTCTTCAGGGCAATTCATGCTTGATGAATGGGGAGCTCATGCCAGAGGTATGAAGAGCACAGCTGACCACTGAGTTAACAGAAACGCCTGCTGTCTGCCTGTTTGCTTTGGGATTGAAGCCAGCCAGCCAACCACACACAGCATTTATATCACTGGGCGCAGGGCACCTTTATGGCCATGGAACGTGCGCTGGCACAGACATCGGCCAAAGTGCAACTAGCACCACAAGGTGGTGAGCTTTCTGGTCCACTGGTAAATATATCCACCATGGGTGACAGGCTCAGAGCAACATTTTCCAATCCAAGTGTAAGAATCTAAAAAGAGTACTTTCACCTCGGTGGTACTCCTGACCCTGACATGAATGTTAGGGCTTCGACTAACAATTATTTTCATTATCAATTCAACTGTCAATCATTTTCTCCAGCTGTTTGCTCCAAAAATGTCAATCATTGTTTCCCAAAGACCAAGATGACATCCTCAAATGTATCTTTTTCTCCACAACCCAAAGATAATCAGTTTACTGTCATAGAGGATTAAATAACCTAGAAAATATTCACATCTGAGAAGCTCAAATCAGTGGATGTAGACATTTTTTCTTTAAAAATAAAATGACTCAAAGCCATTCATTGACTGCCAAAATAGTTGGATTAATTTAATAATGGACAAATAATCAATTAATTGACTAATTTTTGCAGTTCTAATGAACATATGTAGAGAAACTGCAAATCAAATCAGAGTGTGTAGAGTATTCTTACTAGCCAGCTCACTGATGCATTGCTCAGTCAGGCGAAATTTAGCCTTAACTAGTAGCCTACTGCTTGTGGTGACATTACCCGCCTTGCGTTACCTGCACGAAATTATATTCTGAGCGAAATTAAAAATAAACAATTCAAGAAAATTCTTCACCTCTACTTTCATTGCATTACCAATTTAAAAACAGCAGCTCCTTCTGCGACGGATTCTCAATATCGCGCTAAGGATGTAACCATAGACCATGTATGGATGTAACGTGTCACTGCAATCGTAAGTGATAAAGATTTTGCGCGATGCATCAATGTGATCACGCAGGCCTGGCATGAACGCTTGAAGGATAATCAAAGAGCAGAAGTTATAGCCGTTCCTCCGCTTTAGTGGATTAAGACACCTGCAACTAGTGCCGTGTTAAGTACCAAAATCAGGATCTTGCATTTGCTGTAAGCATCACTAGTGCAAACTAGATAAATGGCGGTTTTTGTCTATTTTACACCAGTGCCATGTTCAATATTTAATCAGGACATACTATCTTTAGTTTGTGCAAGGCATCACTCGTTTAAACTAGACATATGATGGTATTTCAATAAAACAAAAAACATCCGTATCCGCCGCAAACAATGGCGATTATCGGAACATTTTAAACACTGTGCATCCCCAGCCAATGTATCTGTCTACGGACACTGAAGCCCGGTTTGCCGTGGATCTGTGTTTATCAGTGGCTGACTGAAGTGACCACATGTGCTCCAACACAGAGCACACAGTGTCCTCCCCTGCTGTCTGACGGCACTGACGAAGAAGAGTGCAGTACCGTCGCAGGGATGAGAGAAAGCCAGCCGTACTTTGCTCCAAGTTGCAGTAGGTATAACAGCTCAAGATAAGCGACAAAGGAGTGTGACTGTACTGTCACGGCTGCCTCCTTGTTTTCTTGCAACCATGCGGGCGTAACGTTAACCGTTGTCGCCGAAGAAACACAAAGGGGGACACGAGGGAGACAAAGGAGAGCGCAGGACACTGCTTCTGCAACTTCTAAGCGATTATGCCTATACTAGTTATACCGCACTTTAAAGGGGGATATATCGTTTATCAATGTATTACTTTGTTATAACCCACAAGCGGCCTGTGATATAAGTGTACACGATCAAAAAGTGCAAGCTAATGAGACAAGCTGAGTCCCAACAGGAGACAGCGTGTGCAGCAGAACCCGCTATCGTCTGGTAGCTAGCATTAGCATGTTAGCTAACCTCACCAACAGGCACTGCACGTATCCCGCGTCTCCCTGCGCTACGCTACATCCACTTCAAATTAACAAAACTACACCACGTTCATTTGTGAAGTGCCTGCGAGTTAAAAAATATATTCACCAGGCCAAAAACTCTGTCATGCTTCCAGACGCCGTAGCGAAAAGACATAAACAAGGTTAGCTAATACACGTACGTTACCCCACAAACCAGAAACATAAATGCACGCACACACACACACAAAAAAGCTACCTGAAAGCTGGGTGCTCTTTGCCACATCTCGGGGGCGGCGACGACAATGCATTTCTCTTGTTAAAAAGTTTCTGGAAGAGAGTCGGAGGCATTTTGTACCAAAATAAAGTCCGTACAAAATGTCTCTTCTTTTCAAATCCAAGAACAAATCTTGTTCCTTGTAACTGTCTCCATGGGTGTCACAGTCATATGACAGGCATTAGTCACGGGAGCTGCTTGGTAACGCACTACATTTTTCTGATTGGCCGTCCGGACGCTGCTGCTACTACAAAATACCTGATTGGTTTGTATTTTTGGCCCGGTACCACGTGGTCAGTGGATTCGCTGTGTTGATGTTTTGTCGGGAATCGTGACAGCATGAAATTTATTAACAGAAATCCTACAAGTGCAACTGCTGAGCTGCTTGCAAGACATAGTCAAAGATCCTTAAAAGGCCAATAAATGTAAAAGACAGAACTGTGCTAAACAAAAGAGGGGTATACAACAAGAATGATTTTATTATTTATTGAACATTCATTTCATATTCTTTCAGACGATCAAAACATCTGCAAAGACAGACAAGTCACAAATATAGAGAACATTTCAACTTTATGTTTAGCTTACATTAAACATTTAGACTCTGCTGTTATTGCATTGACACACATGGCACTAACGCACATGCCAAAAGAGTAAATAAAAATACAGATAGAGAAACACAACATGTATATTGCAACTGGAGAAGAGAAAAGATGGCTATTTAAGAAAAGACGGCTATTTAAGAAAAAACAGGTCTGACATCTAGTGGTCAGTTTGCACCAGACACTTAAAGGAAATCAGGTTGGTTTGAATGCTCACGGTGTGTTAAAAAAGTATAGTGAAACCTCCATTGTCATAAACAGATGTATTCAAAAGGACCAATTAACAGCTAACAGCCATCTGACCATATCAACTCATAGGCCTACTCCACAGTTTGTACAGTAGGCTATGTAATAAAAAAAATAAAAATAGGAGCCATGTTGAGACACAGTAGAAGTTGGAAGGTCACTTTCACTAAGTTTGCAGAGTTTATGGTGTGTAGGCACCTACATTTATTCATACATTCACCTACAGTGTGGCATTTGAATTATTCTTTTTTAAAACATATTCAAACGCTAATTAAAGTGCATAACATTTCATTTTCCATATTAGACAATCAGACAGTCTAATCCCCTTCTTGTTTTTGAAGTACACCAGGACTACTTTTTTGTTTGTTTGTTTGTTTTTTTACACAGGGGTTTTCACATGCAGACCTCTTTAATCTAGATTTTGGAATAAAGCCCGAATCTTTACACACAATATTTTGGCCTCAGAGGTCACAGGACAGTTGGTTTTGTGTGCTTCGCAGCTGTAAGGGGAAATAAAGGAGCACTTCTGAGTTTGACACACCTTTCTCTCATCCTCTGAAAGAAAGCATTCTGGTCACTGTTGGTGACAAAGTCAAAGAAATTGGCTTTCTCCGGACTACTTTTTACAGGCCTTTCCAGCAGAACCTTCAGTTGTAATGCCTCTTCTTTAGAACTGATCATACCTGTTCTGCATGTGTCTGCATCAGGCATAATCTGCTCAGCTGGGCTGGACGTTTGGACCGGCTCTCTGCTGTCGTCAATAGTTAGGCCTACTCTGGCGGCCGGGTTGCATTTTCCTTTAAAGGTCTCAGCAATGATAGGGCTTTTGAACCATACCTTCTTCTTGCACAAAATGGGCCTTCGGTTGGTGACCTGAGGGACCCAAACTTATTTGACCATCTCCATAATCCCTCTTTCTTTTGATTTAAACACAAAATATACACATCATATTTTAGATTACAAGATAACCAGGTGCCATTCTTACTTTTGGCGGGGTTTTCCACTTGAAGGGTTTGTCTGCAGATTGAAGATGTGAAAATGCAAAATTATACATTAGAAATAAGATTAACTGAAAAGTCTTTCATGCAAAATACTCAGGAAAACGAATGATTCACATTAAGATTATTTACCTGATTTAAATGAGTCCATAGGTATTTTGGTCTTAGCTTCAGGCCCTCTGTTCAAAGAGAAAAGACAGTGACTGAACCAGTTTTGGTCAAAAAGATGATAAGAATGCAGCTACACCCGATCTTTCTGGGACCCCCCAAGTCATCATCACTCAATATATCATCAGAAATGTGTAAAATGACTCTTACCAAAGGGTGCGTGTTAGGTGACCTTTCCGAAAACAGACAAACTCACCTGATCTCGCAGTTCTTTTCAGCAAGAATTGCAGAGGCATCTGCAGACAGAGGTTTTATCAGACAATTGTCCACTGTTTAAGACACACACTAACACTTGGACATCAACATATATAACTTTCATAAATACAACACGTTTTAAAAAAATTTTAAAAGGGATTTTAACAATTGAGAAAGGCCTAAGCATCATGAAACTGACCTCAAAATATACTGTAAATAGCACTGCAAACTTTTAAATTTTTAAGATTATTTTATCATGTGTATGCCTCAGAATCAACCTTAAGCTGCAACTTCTAATATGTTTAATGTTATGATCAAAAGCCCATTACAATTAATATTCTTGAATAATTATCCTATACATCTAAATTTTTTTATTAAAGAGTTTGAAATCGTAATGCCATTATGACAAGCAGTATTATACCTTAAATGACTCCAATAATAAACCTTGAAATTATTTTAACTTCAAATAATTACTGGATGGGGTCCAAATATCTCACAAAATAAAAAATTTCTTACCACACTAAGCTACAAGACATGTGTGTGGGGACTTTTCTCACAGTATTACCGATGATGGTGGAAAGGTTGGGGGGATGATACATGTGGATGTTCTCAGCGTGGCTCCCATCCAGCAAGGTGGAGTTCTTAATGTCAAGATGGAGACCCAGCAGCTTATCCTTAATGGGGAAAGTCAGTGTTTCCACTGTGAGGAGAAGAAATTGAAAGAAAAACAGACTAGAATGACTTTATATTCTGGGTGTGGAAATACAAGGATGCTCACACACACACACACACCATAGCTCTCTCTTCTGAAGATCTCTGGGGAGGGAAGACTGCTGGAGTCCATAGAAGCAGAGGAGTAACAGTCTTCCTCTGAGCTTAAAGTTTCGTCTGACTCCATGCTAGAAGATGTGATGCTTTCTGGAGTCACTGCTAAGTTTTGCTCTTCTTCGTTAACTAGTATTTCACCACCTTTAAAAGCCTCTGCATCGGGAGCCACCTTAATTGTTGGGTTACCTGCTGGTGACCCTTGGTAGCCATTTACTTTCGCATTAGCTGGTGCGGCAGGCGAGGCGGCTTTGCCTCTGGGATTTTCAGCAAATCCAGGGCTGCTGGAGCGTAGCACAGATTTGCGGGGGACAGGCTTAACGCCAGTCTGTGTGTACAAAGGATAAGCATGGAAAGCATGAGGAGAGAGTCAAACAAACAAACAAAAAAAAAAACGTATGAGAAACCTTGGCAAACAACTTGAAATTCAAATTATAGTGTCCCAGAAAGACAACGGGAGCGGTGTGAAATCAAGGAACAGGATAAAGAGAGTGATACTCACTTACTTCATCCTGTGCATTCCTTAGGGAACGCCGTTTATGCATGTCAATGTTATTATTATGAAAAAGTATAGCCTAGCTATTAGATTTTGTTATACATAGCCTACATATAGGCCTAAATATCTATTTACTTATCAGAATACCCACCATGGTTAGTTTGACAGTGGGGACATTCTCACCCTCCACTTCAGGTTCCTCTGGAATTGCTTCATAATGCTTGTTGGGCATAATTCTCTTGCACTCTGAAAGTTTTGAAGGAGGAATGTGAAGGATTGTCTCTAGAAGCAGCTAATGAAATTACTTGCATTTAGCGGGAAGCACATTCATATTTATTAGATAAATTCCTCCTAAAGCACAGGCCAGGCCTACAGTTGAAGTAGGTTAAAAGTTATTAAAAACTACAATTAGAAACACAACTGAATGGTAAAAAGCAATTGATCATCCATTTTCCAATGAAATAAGCCTAATGTTACCTGAATTTCAAAGGGTAAATGGGCACATAAGCTCAAACTTAAAGTGAGCAGAACCAAAGTTATGGTGCATGATATGTTCTACTGATCTTCTATAAACAAAAATAAGCAACCTCTCTATCAGTGCTAAAGATGATGGGTGTGTTTGGATGTGTATTTCTTACTGTCTCGTCTGCACAGCGCAGTTTTTACTGGTGTATCTCGTTTGTTAGGTAGTCCATTGTCACGACTGACTTTAACTCGGCACTTGTATCTGCCCATTTCCGAATGAAATTCACCTCCACGTTAGGGTCGATGATCAGGTAGTGCAAAACTGTCGCTATCCCAACGTTAGAAGAAGTGTTGCTAATACGTTAACCCAATTGTAAGCTGTTATTTCGTAAAGACTGAGTGAGTAACGGTAAAAAAAGAAAGTCCGACCAGATGCTAAAAATACGTCAGCTTTTCCTCTCTGTTCTCTGTGGTGCTTAGCAACCGAGCACACCTGCAGAGTCTCTCTGCTTGCTGATGACCCTTTATATCCGTGTGAAGGGAAATGCCCACTCCTGTCTATAGGCTACATTTTATTTATTATAAAAAGTCTAGGTATGCTACTAGCTGCGTCTGCTTTTGATGCTCACACACATAAGCCTACAAATAAGTGAGTAAAAACACTGCAACTTCTTTAAATTAATGTAAATTTGTGTGTGTGCTGTGGGTGTCTAGGTCACTCGATGGCCCTCGGGTTGTGGCATGTTGGGCAGCATGATATGCCCTTGTCTCCTTCTCCAAGGAGTTACTAAGCACTTTGAAATCTGAAATGACACAACTGAACCAGAAGTAGGCTAAATGATGCTTTCATTTCATTGAGTGTTTTATAAGCACTCACTGCCCCTTAGTGGTCACAATGAGTAATTACAGTTTTTACGTGTAAATTTAAAGGACATTCTTAAAATGCTTCATTATTAAAAATAATAAATGTAATATCATAACTGAAAAGTCATATTAATAACACGATATATTAGCTTTCTTGTCTGCAGTGGTGGACAGTAGTCTACTTATGTACAATTTCGAGGTAATTGAACTTTACTTGAGTATTTCCATTTTATGCTACTTTATACTCCACCACAGAGGGAAATTTGACTCCACTACATTTATCTGACAGTTTGAGTTCCTTGTTACTTTTCCGATTGAGATTTTACATAAAAAAACATATGACATGTTTATAAAATACATTATATTGTTAAAAAATAAACAAGCTGTTCCTGAACTTTTGTCATTTGAACCTAAACAAAAAAACACTTGGTTGGGACCTCTTGTCAAGTTTCGTATCTCTACAAGTTGTTAGAAGTTCCACCAAAGAGTTAACCCCCACTAAACTTCTCAAATGTTTTTATAGAATTGTATGAGACTTAAAGAGTATTCACTGTTTTTACAAAAAGCCAAAAACTATTTTTTGTTGTTGCAGAACTTTGTTTTTCTTCTTTCCTTCCCCATTAATCATCTCATGGTCAGATATGTCTTGTGACACTTTGACACACAGATTGGGAACTACTGGATTAAACTTCCTAACTACATATAAAGTAGTTAAAACTAGTTTCACCCAAAATAGTTTTTCCAACAACAAAAAAATAGAGTACTTTTCCATTTGATACTTCAAGTGCATTAATACGTCTGTACTTTTACTTCCTTAAGGATTATTTTAAATGCAGGACCTTTACTTTCAATGGAGCATTTTTACATGATGGTATTTTTACTTTTACTTAAGTGTAATGATCTGAATACTTCTCACGTCCCAATTTGTTTTTCATAGCAGCATCAGTACAGACACTTCCAGGGAAACCTTTCAAAATAAAAACCTGTATACGAATAGCATTTTAGACACCATAAAAAAGAAACAAGACGCTAGTTTAAAATCATTCCAGAATATCTTTTATTTCATTGCCCATGTCCTACTTCCCACCCTCCCTCATTCCTATTGCTGCACTCAATCATTACAAGGATATGGTGCTGATTCCGTTTTACAGCAGAATATATAAATAAATAAGTACAATTCATCTCACTACACGCAGAAAGAGAGAAAAAAATCCATTCAAACCATTGATTTAATAAATATGCTTACATCTAGCTGTCCTCATTTATGTACATCCACATTGTTTATGCTTTGGGACGGTAATCAACTTAAAAAGCCTATACACTACTTCTATGTGTAAACCCTCCGAAAAACGTGTTGATTTTGTTTAAAAGTTGATGATTGGTCTATTTTCCTTCAGTGAGTGGAATTTACCAGCTCTGCCTACATTACAAAGCCTTGCGCTAGCAGCAGTGGCTGTGGGCAGCTGCATACAACCTGCTATTAATGGCCACAAAGAAATACTCGTCAAGTCAAATGCTAACGGTCCCAGCATTGCAGGGCAAACTGCATGCATTGCCCTGAGCCCTGGTTTTGCATTATTTCTTTTTTTCCCTTTTACCTGCACTCTTTTTGGAAAGATGGATGTAAAGAAAGTTGTGATAGAGCCAACTGCGGAGTGTGAACCTTGATGATTATTACAGTCGGCCAGTCCATGCATGCTGAATTGTTGAACGCAGTCTTGAAGCCATGAATGTGTGAATATGTGACATAAACTGCGATTTGGATGTGGCTCATTACAACATTCAGATGCTCCACATAGAACCGTGTGGCAATGCTTTTTAAGGCAGGCTACACTCCTTACCTTATCTTAATTTAGACCTCAAACAGGAGGATGTGTTTTTTGGTCTAACTGCACGATGTCTGGGTTGTCTGGGTTGACACAACCAGTTTAATCCTGGTTGTGTCAGATCAGGGGAGATTTATCAGGCCCTGGTTAATGGCACTGCTGTCAGCAGCTTGTTCAATCAAATGTGAATATGCTGTTTTCTAGTAAGTAATTTTCTGTCCCACAAGGTATCAGTATTGTCACAAATCTAGACATCTCCTTGAGCTACACTATACACAAAGACATCACACTTGCTGTCGTACAACTGTGGATTTTAGGTCTTGTTTGGCTGGTAGGTTTAAACTGATGGAGGAGAGAAGAGAAGCAGGAGATAGGAATGGATTGTTCAACATAAAAGTGCTGATGAGTTTCTGGTGCTGAGGACGGAGCATTTGACGGTGTGTTTGGGTGGATAGCAGGTAGCAATGTGTGGACAATTTAAAATGCCTAAATAAAAACAAATCAAACAAAGAATGCATTTAGTATGTCATAATTAAATAAAACATATCTTAAAAGGACAATTATTTTACTTTAATAACTAAATGAATTGGTCTATTACATTTCAGTGCTGTCCAGCTGAGAACAGCTTGAATGCTAAATGCAAAGCACTTTATTAGTCATTAGTTTTTATGAGGAGTTGCAAGGGAGCTTTGTCAATTGTCAAGGCCAAAATGAAAAACAACCAACTGGCCAATCACAGCCTGAGGAAGGGGGGCCAGGGACAGGGTTTATAATCTTATCCCTTGAAAATAAAAATAAATAACTTACAGGTAGGCCTACATCTACTAGCAATAGCTTATCCTCCTCTATTAAACCACTCAGCGTTCACGCAAACTAATTACCTGTCACCACTTACCAAGTTACCAAGCCGCCTACAGCACAATCGATGCCTTAAAATACCAGACAGTCAATCACAAATGAGACTAAATGTACAGTCAACAGTAGTTCCCCTCTTGCCAGCTAGCCCACAGGAAACAGTTTTAATGTGAAAGGCTGTCTGTCATGGCTGCAAACACTGTGCTGGTGGGCCCTTTCCCCAAAGCTGTGATTGGAATTTTTTTTTTTTTCCCTGACTTTGGCATTGGCAATGCGTCACTATTTAAAAAAATTACAAAGCTCCTTTGCACTCCATGCTTTGTGTTTGCTGTACTATTGGCAGGTCTATGCTGGTCTCTGCTGGACAACACTAAAACGCATCATTTTTGTGATTTTTGTTTTTGTGATTTGTTTTTAATGCGGCATGGAAAAGTCATGTCACAATGAAAAACAATTAAAGCTAAATCATTTTCCTTTGAACATATGCTTTAATGTAATTATGACAATAAATGCATACATAAAAAGGAAATACACATAACAATGTGTAATGTATTTCATTTTATTTCTTTGATTTGTTTTATTTAGGTATGTTAAATCTCCCATAGTACGGCCAGTTTTGGCTTGCTTTCCCAAAGCATGTTAAGCCTAAGGTCACATCTTCGTCCCAGGTCAATGGTCAAAGTAGCTCTTAGTGCTAAGATGCTTGAAGGAAAACGAGGTCTGCCAGACTTCACATGGAGATGCTGCTGTAGAGCTGGTCAATCTTCCCCTTGAAGAACTCCTTTAGCTCTGGTCTCTTGGCCTTTAGTGTTGGAGTCAGGAGGCCGTTTTCAATGGAGAACATCTCGTTGTGGATGTAGATGTTCTTCACCTTTAAAATGTAAAAGAATATAAATGTGTTTGAATGAAACCAAGATTCTTCAGAGTGTCCCCCAAGTAATTACAAGCCTTCTACGAGCAGACAAGTGTTTACAATTGCAGTATATTACCACAGACTACTTACTTTACATTAACTGCTGCAGTTTTTATTTTTACTGTAGCTCAACTGCATCAATTTGTGAATAAATGCAATACTCAAGGACCCTATAAAGACATTGCAACATAATCAAACAGCCCTTACTGTGACAGTTCACTGTGACTCGGGTTTAGTTATTTGTATTATTTTGTTTTGGGGGGTTTCTCTTCTCCTCCGTCACCTCATTACCATGCTGCCTTACTCTACAAGCTACAGCTCGCCAGCCGCCATCACCACAACTACATCACACAATCCAATCCTCCACCTGTAAACTCTGGATGCTCTTCACCCCCCACTACCTTTGCAGACTAGTTTGTTAATAAACTCTTTTTGTTGCACTTCACTTTAACGAGTCTGTATCTGCCCCTGGGTCTGGCCACCACCAAACCTAAAAGTTAACTTGAGATACTGCTGGCATATATTAGGTCGCACTGTAGCTTTAAGACCAATAATTCACTTAATTAATTTTCTAAAGATAAGAAAAATACAGCTACAACAGAAGGCAGGCCAAATATTAACTACCTACCTGCTCAAAAGAGTGGAGGCCACTAGCCTTGCCCAGACGCACCAAATCTTCAAGGACTGCCTTCTTTAATTCCTGTTGATAAAAGAATAAAGTTATCTTCAGTATCTTCAGCATCTATCATTAACAGCGTTTGAAACATATGAGCCTTGTGCCACATACTGTGTTTTTACAGAGGTCCTTGTAGGTGCCTAATATGCCTTTTTTCTTTGCCCACTCCGGCATGACTTCAGGGTCAGGAACCACAATTCCCACCAAACAGGACTGTGAAGAGCAAACACAAACATAAGATGAAAAAAGTCAAAAGATTGTGTGCTAACTCAGCTTAGAAATGAGCACCAGATGGGCAATCATATATTTTATTTGTGCCGGCTTGTAGTAGGGTATATCAAACTAATTGAAAAGCTTAATGTTTACTGTCTATAATATGGTGTGTGTATGTTCTTACCTGCAGGCTATCGCCATGAACATAGAGCTGTGCCACAGGTTGACTCCTAATGTAGATGTTCTCAATCTTTTCAGGGGAGATGTACTCGCCCTGTGCCAACTTGAAGATGTGCTTCTTCCTGTCAATGATCTTCAGTGTGCCATTCTACAAGAGGGGAGCGGTTGAATAAATGACAAGAAAAAACAGGATGAAAAATCTGTGGAGGTCCTCATGTAAAAAACAACAACAATGGGTTATTTTAAGCAAATGCTGAATAACCTAAAATACTGAAATATTATGCCTAAATAATGGAGGCTGACATGAGCTGTATGTACATACAGGTAACCATTTGCCGATGTCTCCACTGTGAAGCCACCCGTCTGCGTCCAGCGTCTCGGCCGTCCTCTCCGGGTCTTTGAGGTAGCCCTTAAACACATTAGGTCCCTTCACACAAACCTGCATAGGAGATTAGAAAAGGGTCGAGGTGAGAGGAAGATTTATTTGTGTTTGTATGAAATCATAATACCTTTTTAATCTTATAAAAGATACATGTTCTTATATTTTAGGACACTTTATTCTCTAAAATCTGTGGAATTTAATGGATTGACAAGGTTTATGGGACTTGCATTTCTCAATAGTAATGAAGTTTCTTTGCACTGCATGTCAATTCCTAGATAAAAACACCTTTCTGTAGCAATACTTTTTTGACGTTGCTGTTTTATGCATCTCATCTCCTGTTCGCCTTGTTTCTTCTTCTTGGAATTTTAAGATATTCAAGTCAAAGCAACATTGTAAAATTTTAAATGAAGTTAACTCTCTGGCTTGTTATGAACACACAAACATTTCTTTTGAAATCATGTTGCTTACCTCTCCCTCTCCCTTAGAAGCAAAATAATTCTTTTCAGGAACATCCACCAGTTTGATGAGGTTACAAGGCAGAGGGGCCCCGACGTGACCTATTGACGGGGTAAGAAAAAGCAAAATAATTTAAAAAACTCAACAAATTAACATTTTCTTTTCCCCCCCCTTTCTGTCACAATCTCCCTCCTTTCCCTACTGTTATTTAATCTTTTTCATGTTTTTTATGTATTTGTGTGTGCCGGCAGTTAGACAGGCTCAGCAAAAACCTCAAAAGTGATTTGGTCTAAAAGTGTGGAGGCCTGAAAAACATCTATTTTGTCGTACATGCTGGTTATCTCACTCTCTCTGGTGGATTGAGTTATTTGCCACTTGACAAAGAAAACTCCAGGTATTTCTATATTAATTAAACATATTTATACATGCAATGGACTGTGCTTTTGTTTAGATTGCCCAAAATGACAATTACCTACAGCTTTTACAGAAGGGTTTGTATTTGTTTATGTGGTATGATATGTGCTTAGTAATTATATATAGTATAATTATTATATATATATTTATTTACTATTAACCTTGAAAAGACCGATTTAATTGCTTTCGGCTGTACAGCTGGCATAAGAATCAAAGGGGACATATCAAAATGCACTGTTTTATTTTGGTTGATTTCCAGCTAAAAATCTAATATTTGATTGAGAGATTCAGAGAAAGACACGCAGGCCAATTCATCAACAGCCTTAAGTCTATAACATAGAAATTACTTGGAAAATTACCATTAATGCCAAGAGTATTAACACAACAATGCAGCACGCTAGAGGGTAAATACAGGCAGTTTCAACAGCTACTCTTCTTTTTCATCTGTTTGTTAATGTTGGCAAGCACCCCTAACAGCTCTTTCTGCTATCAGTCTCACCCTTCCAGGCCTCTGCCTTTTGCCTTGATCTACTGTCTAGGGCACACCCCACCCACCTCACCCCCCAACTCTTGCTTTATTTCCACTGAGTGGGAGCTATAAAATTTGGAGCCTGAGTGTCTGATCACTTACATCAATATCCGAGTGACAATTTTGACCACCTCACCAACATTTTTTCATGTCAAGGGGATTCAGGGAGCAGCAATGAGTTCATCAGCTTTATAGACATATTGACCTCAGTTACAGTATTCCAGCATGGGAGTTGTTTATTCCTTGGAGTCATGACTCAGCCACTCCACTTTTAGACCTTTGAACTGAGCCTCTAGTTAGGTAAACAAGTTCAGAAAGTCGGGCAGAGATAGGTTTCTGTATGTCTTTCCATTGCATAAAACACTTGACGCTTACCTGGGGTCCAGTCTCCAGGTGTGGTGAAGGTGCAGCCAGCTGTGCACTCTGTCTGGCCGTACGCCTCGTACACCTACACACAGACACAGACAATGTTGCGTGAAGGACTCAAGTGCACCACACACTAAATTTATGTGTGAATATGTTTAAAAGCATGTGGATCAGTGCATATTCTTTATGCAGGTTGTACATAAATGTGTTCCTGTCTTTGTGAGGACTAATTTGAGTTTCAGACTTTCAGAGTGGGGACTGTTCCTGATCCCCACATCTTAAATTGGCTGTTTGATGGTTCAGATATTGCTTCAGGGTTAAACCTGCAAAAGCTGATTTTCTTTGGCCACTTGGGGGCAGTGGAAACAAGTTGTGAACAAAACACTGACACACAATTACCTTTTAAGTTGATCTGGCAAACTGGTTAGCAAACAGTTGATTATTCTCACATCTCGCATTTACAGAGCAACATTATCATTCATTTGGAGTTGTGTGTCTGGCAAACTGGCTAATTTAAGTCCACTATTCACTCTCTTTTAGTTCAGTTTTTTTGTCTCTACCAACTCTTTTTCCTTGTAAACACCTGTCTGCAGTGGCTGAAAATAACACTATGAGAGCAGTGAGAGTGATCCAGTGAACAGCAAAGCTGATGGCTAAAAAATTAGCTGAAACTCACTACAACGCTCTGTAAAGTTGAAGGGAGCTGCAGATTCAGATTAGGTTAAGGATAGGATAAGTGTAACTGTCCGCTTGGAGTCATTTAAAGTGTATTGATTTCAGTGAATATTGAATATAATTAATATAATTTTATATCTGTAAAAGCTTTTTTTATCCTATTATGGTGTTAACATGGGCAGATCACTTCACGCAGGTACCAGTAGCGTCCAACAGTGGGCAGCGTATTTTCTGCCACTAGGCTAAAATACCCCCTGTGAAGACTGTAGATAACCCCGTACTTACCCGTTTACGGTTTGTTGCAAACCAGAAGAAATAGTGGGGCGAGCAGACACAGAGCACATGCTAGAGACGCCAACATATTGAAGATTGTAATAAAGCCAAAACAAAGGAAACTGCCCGTCCTAAGTTTAACGGCCTTGGGAAGCGGAATGAGGCGTGTATAGTGTAATTGTCTATGTGCGGGTGCTGCGGAAGTGAAGTTGTTCGTGTTGTTTAATGCTGAGCATGTATTGATGAAGAGTCATTTAGCTTTGAAGTATTATTCCATTGTGTTTTAAAGGTTATTGTGTATATGTGTATAGCGTGTGTAGTTTAATTTGTGTATTTAATTATTTGTTATTTCATGTGGTTTTAGCGCAAGTAATGTGTATGAAAGTACTTATATATTTTGTATAGTTTTATAGTTTTTACGGTGCTTACTAAGATATTGGACATCACGAATTGAAAGACACAGAAATCCGTAAAAGGCATCAGCAGAGACTCTCTGCATCTTGCTTAACCCACCGAGGGCAGTTACAATAAGTGTTTTGGTTAGGCATGTACTTCTGGTGGTTAGGGTTAGGGCTAAGTACAAATGTGTGTGTGTGTGTGTGTGTGTGTGAATATGTCTGTCTCTGTGTGTGTCTATGTGTGCATGTGTGTGTCTGACCTGGCAGCCCAGAGCTGCTCTGAGAAATCCCAGCACAGTGGGCGAGGTAGGAGCTGCTCCTGTTATAATCATCCTCAGCCTTCCTCCCAGACTGGCCTATACAGCAGAGAAACACATTATTAATACAGAGGGCGCTTATTAATACAGAGGGCGCTAAAAACAATCCAGGAATGCTATTTATATTGGATTTTAAAGAATGAATTTTTTCCTCAATCAGCTTAGTATGAGCGAAGGGGTCCAACATGAACGCACAACTTTCTGCCAACGTTTTGGTTATTTTACATGAGAGTTGAAATAAATTTGCAGCTGAAACCGTCTGTTTCTATTACCACATACGTCATCTGAGCAGTCATTGTCACAGTGGACCTTTGTTAAAGTAAACTACAGTGAACAGTGTCTATTTGCAGGGTGTGTTCGGACAGGAAATATGCTCCTTTTAGACAGCAATTTTTCTGTGCAAATCTATAAAAACTAAAAACAAAGACCCTTGCTGATACAAAAATGATCCAGTCAGTGAATATCAACTAGATGTGATGTTCATTTGTGCCACCGCTCTCAAGGCCAGACACTTAGAAATGCCTGGAGTGCATTAGTAAGATCATTGCATCATTTCTCTGAACTTTGTCAGAAGGGTATAAAACATAACAAAAAAAACCAACCCATTCCTAATCCATAGAAATTGAAAATCAGCATGGGTAGTTTTTAGGGTGGCAGATTTAGCTCAGGGAGAGGAAATAATATTTACCTGAATCTTACTGAAGAAGATTTTGTCCCAGATGCTGTCACTGCGAATGATCCCACTGCTGACTTCAGCACCTTTTCTTTTTGCAGCAAAGTTGAGCAGCCAACGCTTCAATGGGGTGTTAGCCTGGCTGAAGATCTGCACAGGAGACAAAGACAAAATATGTGTTTCTTTTGGTTGGGGACAGTACCCTTCTCATTCCAGCTGCTGAAAATATGTATTATGTAAATAACACCAGAATGATCAGAAAGCAGGTAACACTACCCTAAGTGTAAAAACAAAACTCTGATTTCTTCTCTCACATTTCCGAGGAAATAAAAATTTAAAACGCATTAGTCATCGTTGTTAAGCAACACTTGATGACATCCCTAAACCACAGCTACAGTACTGGATGGAAAAAAGCATGACTAGACAATTTAATTCAATTTTAAAACCACAAATCCTAGGGGAGTAGGGGACAGTTTACCCAAACTTTTTTTTAGTAGAACAACTCACAATGAATGACTTGCTTCATCACCAGCAGAACAAGCAAACAACAGTTTCTTTAAAAGCCGTTTCTCTTTATCTCACCTTGTCGTACATGCGGTTGAGCAGTCGAGGCACCACAGGGAAAATGGTCGGCCGCAGGGCCTTCATGTCATCTGGGAGAAGACGGATGTCGCCCTGGTAGAACCCGATCCGTCCTCCATGGCAGTACACCACAGACTGCAGAGACATACACACAAATAGTGAGCTTAACCTCATTAGCTTTGTGGTAGCTTTTACAGACAAAGTCCCAACACTGACAGGTTAAATCATTTGTGTTTTTAGGTAAAGTAAATTTTATTCATATAGCACTTTTCCAAACAACGCAAAGTGCATTAGGAACAAAATAAAGAGAAGAAACCCTTTATATTTTATATTTTTAAAAATTCTGTACATAATCTGGTGGATAGTGAATGCTGAGTGGCCATATTAATATAACACTGTGCACTGAATAAGAGCTACATCACAAATAGGGAAATAACTGATAAACGTGTCAGCATTTTTTGGGCATTAATGTGAGACACCAATTTATGTGTGAGTCATCATACTTGTTATAAAGGGTGAAGGTCTCACTGTTCTATAGTGTGATGTATTAGAAAGTGCCCCATTAAGGTTGATTATTTCTTAGAAACAGTGAAGAGCTTATGTACTGTACACTAGATCTACACACTATTTTATTATATTACAAATATTGTGAAATAAAGGTTCTAGTGTGTGGAAGTAATTTTTTGTTTCAGTCGGGGAAGAAGTACTCGGATTCTTTACATGAGTCAGTTTTTACAGTTTAACATGTCAAAATTCCCCTGTAAAAGGTCCTGCATTCAAAATCCTACTCAGAAACGGCGATTGTTCTGTAGAAAACCTGGGCTCAGGCCCCCTCCAGTGATTCACAAACAACAACTGAGGGGTGGTGAGATGACTATTGAGAGGGGAAAGACGAATACAACAAAGTTCTGCAACACTAATTGTTTTGACTTTTCTCCAATCTTTGCTTTTTTTAACGAAATATAGGATAATCTTTCAATAATTTCAAGGTGCCCCAAATGTTTTTTTTGTAAAGGGGCAACATCAGCATTTTTTTAAATGTAAAGTCTTAATCTGAACTACTAACTCCAGCATAAAATCAAATACTCAAGAAATGTGCAAGTGCCTCAAAACTGTACTTGAGTATTTTAAGTTATTTTACTTTCTTCCACTGGTTTCTATGCATGATAGTCTTTCCAGAAATAGGCAAAATGTTTAAACCAGGTGAGTGGTGGACAACTTTCTGGTTCTTTGAAGTGAACTGAAATAAAAAGAATTGAACTTCCTGATTGTTTTGCAGTGAGGCACTGTCCCTTTTCAGATCATTTGCAGAATGTGACACTTCCACAGACTAAACATGGATTGAGAATTAACTCCCCACACATCCTTTATCTGTTGGCCAAGTAGCAGAGACAAAATGCACCATATGAGTCCCTCTTCCTGTTTCTTAAGCCGTCTAAGGACACGCCAAAGCACAAGGTCCTCCCTCGTATTTCTCTTTGATTGAGACATCACCAGTATCAGATATGGAGTGGTGTGTTTGTGTGTGTGCATGTGAGGCTTTCTGGGGAAGTTGGGTGGTTTCCTGTGTCTGAGTCTCACGACGCTGACAACGCTGCTGCAGGCATACAAACCAGGCTGGTTCAACCTGATGATACACACATGGCACATGACACCCACACGTGAGGGCACACACATAAACACACATATATATATAATTAAAGATCCACTTAGTGAAAAAACAATACCTAAGATTTAGTATTAAAGAGGGCAGCAAGGCTTGGAGTCATGTGAGGAGAAAATGCAGTCTCAGCACAACTCAAATGTTATATTTTGAGGTCACATTTTATGACTGATCCTGAATCAGTGATGAAAAGCTATCTAAGCAAGCACCCAGTGCCTTTGACAGTGTTTGGCTTCACAGACTCTCACTTACCACTCCACTTACTGCCACTCAGTCTGTTGTCTGGAGGCAAACTGCTGTTCAGCATTTGGTCAAAACTTGGATAGAAGCTGCAGCTGTGAAACTAAAACCCCACAGAAGCTCAAGGAAGCTAAAGAGCTCTCAGTATGTGAAGATTTGCTTCAGACCAAAAAATATTAGTTTACATTGTCAGTTCTGTTTGTGAATTATTAAAGCCTGAACAGCATGGAACAAACTTTCTCTTCAAAATGGAAAACGTATCATTTTTGAAAACTGGCTCTTCACTTTTTTCTCAGCAGGATGGATTAAAATGGCAGTCACTCCAATATGACCAAACTCCTAGTGCATTTGGGTATGATGATAAGAAAACAAAACAAACATGAAAAGCTAGAATGGGTGAACTGTAGGGTTGTTAACAGCAGTGCTGATGCTTCCTGTGGGCTATGTGATTGTGTATTGTTGAGGTGCTATTACAAGCCACGGTTTTGACAGATGCCTATCAGACAAAAACTTAGATAATCTGATGCACCTTTACTGTTTACATCTTTGTGTAACATGGATAACACTGCACATGTTTGGATTTTCCTGTATCTCAGGGGAACAACTGTCCTAGTCAGGACAGAGAGACAGGGAAAATCCTCCAATATAGGAACATTTTGTCATCCTCTGGTTTAGTTTGGCAATGCAGTGGTTAATGTTGTTTTCACAGAAGGACATTTGCACGACAGATTTCAGACAGGGAAAGTATGTAGTAGTAACCATTTGGCAGCAGTGATGTGGGATGAATGAAATCACATAGGGCTTTGCTTTCTGACTAAAACTGAAACTACAGAATTAAGTAGTTTTCCACAGATGAACAGTAGAGTCTTTGTAAAACACCCTGTTTGGACTCACTGCTGTCCCAGTGAGTCCAAATGTTCCAACAAAAACAGCACAAATACACTTAAAATGATACATTACGGGAGGAGGTACAGAAGGTAGGAGAACCAGTTGCAGATAAACACAGGTTTTATAGTAAATAGGTTCCTGTTGTGTTCTCTGATTTCCTGCCTTAACCTGATTTCTCTCAATAATGTGGCTTCTTGTGTGCAAGGTTGAAGATTCTTACACATTTATGTATACATGTGCACTGGTGTGTGTGCTTCAGTATGCTAGGAAATGATGCAACATGCACACCAGTTGCTGTAAAAGGCAATCGTCCATGAAGCTGGATAGCTAAACCAAAAAAAGGAGAGGGAAATGGAGAACAGAGACTCTCCCTTCCTCTCTTTCTCCTTCCCACACAGTAAGAAATCATAAATTAACGCCCACCTTCTTTATACAAAGTTCCTTCCTCTGCCCCAACTAGTCTCATCTTGAAACTCATAAACACATAACTATCTCATTCCTGTGGTCAAAGATGTCAAATGAGCCCATTTACCTCAATAAGTCTCTCAAACATGTGAGCCAGTGGCAGGAAGGAAATGAGGCAATCATCTTGGTTGGGGAAAATTACTTTCTGGAGAAGACAGAATCAAGGAAACAATTAGGCCACCTTCAAAATGATCTTTCGACATGCCAGTTCATGAAAAAGCAGAGGTTGAAAAAAACAATACAAAGCAGTCTGATGAATCACATTTCCTAGGAAAAGAACAAAAGAAGACTGGGTCACTCACATCTGTTACTTTGAGGAAGCCTGAGAAATCTGCCACCACGTTCCCATGCGTGAGCATGACTCCCTTTGGGTTCCCTGTGTCAACAGACAGAAAACACAAACACACCGATATCACAGAGGTGAAACTCCCCTCCACCTGCCTGAGGATCCCACACTCAACCAAGGGGAACACAAAAGGAATCTGGCATGGAAAGACAAACCTGGGTTTTGTAAGAAATTCCTCTGAATCTTACTCGCATTTCAAGTCTTAGAACCTAGAACCCAGGAACGACTTGTGTCAACAAATGAGCATTTATATTATGTAGTTGTGCTGTTAAATATTGTACAATCAGGTATGATACACAAAGCAGCATATTGTAGACGTCTCACACATAGAGCTTGAGGTAGCAAAATATATAATATCATTTAATTCAATAGATCACTGAGTTTTCCAAAATGTATAAATATTTATGTTCTCATTTGCACACTTTAACACCTGTTCTGATGAACAACAGCATGCATTGTCTGTACACACACATACATAATGTACACTCACTGGCCACTTTATTAGGTAAAACTACTTGTTAACACAAATAGCAAATCAGCCAATCACTTGGTCAAAACAACTTGCTGAAGTTCAAACCGAGCACCATAATGGGGAAGAAAGGGGATTTAAGTGACTTCTGGAGGCACCAACAACTATGAACGTGGCATGGTTGTTGGTGCCAGATGGGCTGGTCTTAGTATTTCAGAAACTGCTGATCTACTGGGATTTTCACTCACAACCACCTCTAGGGTTTACAGAGAATGGTCCAAAAAATATCCAGTGAGGAGCAGTTGTGTGGATGAAAAAGCCTTGTTGATGTCAGAGGTCAGAGGATAATGGGCAGACTGGTTCGAGATGACAGAAATGCAACAGAAACTCAAATAACCACTCGTCACTGGCAAGGTATGCAGAATACCATCTCTGAACGCACAACACATCGAACCTTGAAGCAGATGGGCTACAGCAGCAGAAGACCACACCAGGTGCCACTTCTGTCAGAACAGGAAACTGAGGATACAAATCACACAGGCTCACCAAAATTGGACGATAGAAGATTGTAAAAATGTTGCCTGGTCTGATGAGTCTCGATTTCAGTTGCGACATTCAGATGGTCGGGTCAGAATTTGGTGTAAATAACATGAAAGCATGTATCCATCCTGTCTTGTATCGAGGGTTCAGGCTGGTGGGGGTTGTGTAATGGTGTTTTCGATATTTTCTTGGCACACTTTGGGCCTCTCAAACTGGTTTCTTGAACATGACAATGTTCACTGGTTCACTGTACTCCAGTGGCCTCAACAGTTACCAGATCTCAATCTGCAGCAACTGCGTGATGCTGTCATGTCAATGTTTCCAACACCCTGTTGAAAGTATACCACAAAGAATTAAGGCAGTTCTGAAGGAAAAGGGGGGTCCAACCCGGTACTAGTAAAGTGTACCTAATAAAGTGGCCAGTGAGTGTATATGTGCTGTAAATGTGTTTTTAATTATTAACTCGTTTCCACAATTCACCTGCATTTACTAATAATCATGTAAGCTAATACAATTGGAGAATACTGTTTCTTTTTTAGCAAATCCCTTTAATTAAATATTTACTTGATTTACCAGACTGTGTTTTGAAGCCACCATTATTTCTGAGCTACTGTAAGTTCATTGCACACACACACAAAAGTTTATATGAAACAATGATGGAGGATTAGTGTTCCTCTTTCCAGACATGTCATCTGACTTTACCGTGAACAAGATTTTTTGAAAGATAACAGAGTGACGTGGAAAGCAAACCCCATGTTTGGGTTGCTTCATGTCTCTCTTACAGCCAGCCAGCAGGTGGCAGCGTTTTCAGTGGCGCCTTGAACATGGCCAACTACTGCTGCTGTTTCTTGTAAACAGACACCAGTGTGTCCTGACATGGCCTGACTTTTGTTCCCCTGCCTGTTGGCTTCAGCCACAGTTGCTGCTGCTGTGGAATAAGACCCTCCCTCACTCACATGAATGTGTCAGGACATGCTGCGGGATCCAGAGCGAATGTTTATATAATGAAAAGAGGGCAAATTACATTAACGCTATTATGTCACTCTGCTGCTGTGAAGAAACTGGATTCATTTACAGTAAAGGCTTGCCTTTTCAACCCCCCTTTTAAAGCATTTGATCCATTTCTAGCTCCAAAAATCATCATAATCCTAGGAATCAGAGCCCTTCCTTGTTGTAAATGGAAATTTTTATGTGGTATTTTTTATGCTCTATGCTTCAAAGTATTTACAGTATTAACTGCTGTGCAGTCATTGTATTTAGTTAAAGCTGCATTTAAGTGTCTAAAATACTAAATACATTAAATAGGTGACATTTTGGTTTTATCTCTATTATTAATTTAATGTTTAATTGACAGCATTTACATATATCATAAACCCACACATATATATGTGCAATTAGATCGCAATATGCTCTTTTCCGTTTTCTTTGAACATTTGATTCTAAAATAACAGTAAGAACTAAAAATATTAAACATACATACACAAAACAACTTATATATAATAAAAAATAAATTTTAATAAAACACCCTCTCCAAACCTAATCCCTTAACTTTATCCTTGAACCCACAAGACCCCAGCCCTACACTTCTGTGTCTGTTAATTGAGCTTTTATTTTCAGCTTGAGTGATTCCAGTTTGAACTGCCAAACTCCCTGAACTCAACATTGTGTCCACTGAAACACAAATAAAAGTGCAGGTGACTATTGTTACAGCCAATCCATAGTGTTGTTAGTGAATAAAGAGTCTAATATAAAATAAAATAAAAAGTAAGCAGGCCTAACTAATAAAAACGAATGAATGCATGTGCTACACATCACCATCTGGAATTCTGTTAAATTTCTGTTGAAAGAGTTATGACTGGAACACGTGTGTCATCAGCAGTTGTCCTGTCCAACCTGTCAATTAATGATGCAGAACAAGCGTTATTTAATTGGTATTTAAATTCGTTATTCAACCTGTCCCCAGGTCTGACCAAATGTTTTATATGTATTTAAAAAAAAAAAAAAGAGTATTTGATTTTGATTCGGATTGCACTTACTGTTTTAATAGAATTAAATGGAGCTTTATAATTGGTATCTTTATAATAACAAACAACAGCTGTTTCTTGCACAAGCCTTAAGTCATGCAGACTGTGCAGACTACACGATTTTCAGCGTCGGCTGATCGCCGTGACGTTCACACTACACAACTTGCCATCTTTTGACGGGAGTCTTGAAGTCGTTGTGGCGTTCACGCTACATGACTGATCGTTGATGGGGGTCACACACTACACAAGCTGACAGCGGCTCTGTCACTCGATTCTGGTCTCCAAATCACGTTTTGTCAAGAAAACACACAATTGTGAAATGATGCGAAACTATACATGAAACCGCCGTTAGTGTGAACTAGGTTTATGTGTGAATTTCTCAGCACCATAAACAAATAATTATTCCCACAATTTCCACAATAATTACCTGTGGTGCCACTGGTGAAACACACAATAGACAGGTCATCTGGTGCTGGTGGCTGTGGAGAAAAAAAATTCAGTCATCAGTCATTGACATTGTACCAGCAGTAGTATGTGTAATGTTAATGTGTAAGTTGCCAAAAAGCTGTCACTAGACTCTTTAAACTCTTTCTTTCATGAGAGGGTTGGCTACTAGTTTAGCTGGCTACCACCCAGTAGTCAGAGGGTTGAGGCTGAATTGTCAAAATTCACAAAAATGTAAATGAAGCCTAAAGATCTGTGAATTTATAGATACTTTAAAAAAAAAATTGGACAGTCTTGAACTGCTAATATCAGCATGCTAACAGGCTCACAACAACAATGCCAGCATGCTGATGTTTAGAAGATGTAATGTTTAGCATGTTCACCATCTTAGTATAGTGTGTTAGCATTAAACACGGACTGTACAAAATGTTATGGTTAGCTAATCCATCTAATAGTAGATGTTTCCATCTGGACCAAAATGGTCCACCAACATTGCCAATGAAAAGCTGCTAGCAGTGTTAAAAATATGTATGGTACATCTTTCCCAATGTATAGTTGAATTTTGAATTACTTACTACGGGTTTTCTGTAGTGCTCTCTTCCCAGAGCCTGTAAGAAAAAACAAAATGAAAATATTACAAGTGGACACTTCATATGCATAAATGAAATCAAAATGATCTTAGTCATAGCTTATTATTTATATTGCTTTTTCCAACATGGCTCCTTATATAGTAAATAATAATAGTGAATGTCTTCTGAGCTCTGTTTTATAGGACAGCATGCTTATCCAATATCATTTGTTTACTAAAGGCCAAATATTTGTGGTTCTATGTTGATGGAATGCAAATTTATGCTCAGAAAGCCATTTCTAGGAGTAGAAATTTGTCAAGCCCCATGCATTTGTGTACGCTTTATTGTTCAACAGCATTTGCAATAAGTCCTTTCATTTATTTTAAACCACGTGGTAAACCAGATGAGCTTGATGTCTATCAGACTGTCACAGTTCACACACTTCCATGAAGGTCGATCAGTGTAAAAAAAATGTACCCACATGGCTTCCAGCTACTTTCCTGTGATTGTTTTGGCTTTCTGCAGCTCAATGGAATGTCCTCATTGTGCTATTAAACCCTTTATTTTATTTAAGCATGCAAAACATTTTCCTCTTTTGTCGTTATGATGAAAGGAAACCTGCATCTTTCAAAACAATTGGCCTTTGCGATAGACACTACTATGATCTGCTGGACCATTTTCACTTGTCTGCTTGTTGTGAGCTAATGAAGCATCCACACTAACAGTAATGAAAAGAACAGTGAAATTACTGTAAATATACTTTGTGTTGTCTGTGTTGTACTTGTGGATGCCACTTATCTGTCAGATTCTGTGCAGCCAGACAAGAGATAAATAAAAATAGATAAAGATCTCTCTTAACATGCCTAACAAACAAATTTTTTTGATCATGTGCTGATCAGATCTAAACTTAATTTTTGTTTTGACTGACTGACAGTCACACCCAGATGTTTGGATCAATCACGGTCTCCATGATTTGAAGTTAAAGCATAAAGCAAGCAATATACTAAGTATTTTTCTGATTGTCAACAAATCAACAATGTTGGCCTGATATAGCCTATTTATCTGCCTAATAGACCTCCTTTGCTCTCCAGAAACTACTAACTAAAGCATGTTCCTTCATAACATTGCCACTGTAGTTTATTTTGAGTCAGTTCCACATACACCGTCCTGCTGCTGTAAATACTCACTAGAGCGCTGAATCCAAGGCTGAAAGTCATTCCCAACTAATGCACACTGTTCTAAGTACATTGAGTTAGACAATAAGTAAAATACAATATAACCATCCCGATTGCCTGTTAAAGAAACATACACTACAGTGTTATGGTGCAGATTTTCAAGGGAGATGCTACCAAAACAATGGCGGCTTGTTTGCTTCCGCCCACTTCCCCTGAATAGTCAATAGTCAGGTGACAATGATGTGTCCTCTATCAGCCATAGTGGTTGCTGTTATTCGTTATTGGTAATGAACTCAAGGACAACAATAAAAGGAAGCTGAAACCTGATTTCATTTGTGGGCATGTAACAACATTTTAGAAGATGTAAATCATTCTAGATATGACACATTGTGCTTGTTTTTATATGAAGCTAGAGTGCAGAAAACCTTGAAAATATATCAGATTAGTTACTTGCACTTGCATAATTACTTGCACTCAGTCAATTATCTCACCAGATAGCTTTGTAGGGATTTTTTCCCCCACATGTCATACCTCCACTTCCTGTATTGCCTGCACGTGGACGCCACAGCCCTTGCTGTGGTCCACAAGGGCTGAGTCAAAGGCATCCATCAGGATGATTCTTCGTAGGCCCGGAGTCTCCTTCCGCTCCACATTATCCAGAAGCACCTGAGCTTTCTCTACTTTGTCACAGATGACTGTGGAGATGTCAGCTGAAATGATATAAGCACACAAGAGCATGTTAGTACCAAACTAGACCTATGTTTAATGGCTTAGCAGCCACACATTTGCAGCAGAGTTATCACATCATGACTGTTTCTATGGCTTTTGGAGTCCTTCAGTAAGCTTTCATCCAGGAAGTAACCCTGTGTATCATGGCTGAGCAGACAACAGTGCCGTCAGTCACCAGTGAGGGGAGCTCCACTGCTATTAGCTACTGATTCAGTCAGTCACACTGGTTTAGGTTGCTGTTCAAAATCCAGACACATGCTATATGTGCAGTGAGTTGTTTAGCTGCAGGCTTCATGGTTTATTCCTTCAATGAGGATAGGATAGTTTGCCACATTTACATCTCAAACTCAAAGCTTAGAAGAGATTATCACTCCTAAATACTGTTGTGTGTGTGTGTCTGTTAGTGTGGCTGGCAGCTAGCATTGATATGAGTTTGTCTGCGTGTGATGTGTATGTTCTCACCAGTGTTAATGATGAACCGTATTGCGTCTGGGCCCAGTGTGTCATACAGGGGAACCACCACCATGGAGTAGGTGTAGCAAGCTAACTCTGAGATGATCCACTACAATCACACACAAGCCAGGGGTCAAAGGTCTGGGGTTAGAGTTTAATCATGCATCTTTATCCTTGAAAATTAAAAACACATACAACTTAATTCTATATTTGTGTTACACTTAGGCCATACATATACACACTGTTATTGTTTCAAGCAAAAACACTGCAAACATTTTGTTATTATTATTATTTTTTTATTTTTTATTTTTCAAGACAGAAAAGGTTCCTCTGTAAAAATGAGCGACAGTTCTTGAGTGGGTGTGTGTGTTTACATCAGTGGCCTGTTGTGTGAAGGAGACCACCTGTAAAATCGTTAACATGTATCTTGTCCGAGCCAGCAGATGTGATACAGTGATGCAGAGAGACGGAGTCGAAAGAGAGACGGCATGAAAAGTTAAGAGACAGAGATTGAGACGAAAAGGGAAAGTCACCTCTGGCCTGTTCTGGGCGAACACTCCAATAAACTGGTTGGGGTTGGGCTGGCATCCCTGGTGCAGAAGGCCTGAGCCCAGATGCTCAGCCCGGGCTGTCACCTGGACCAAACAAATGCTGTTTAATTCAGCTTCATGGAAAACAGTTACAGTACGAAGCAGGAATGCGAATTAGTGTTCAGTATTGTGTTTATTACGGTACTATTTAGTAACTATTCAGCTAAATTAAGGGACCTGGAAAAAAGGGAAATGCTGGTTATAGTATGTTAATTTTCTACCATGCTTCAGCTATAAAACACAATAACAATTAAAGGTCATTGCACAATTTAAGGCCATTTTGGAAACATCCATGGTTTCCATTTCACAATAAATCCATGACTATCTATTATGTTGCACTGCCACAATCTCATTTCTCAAGTTACCGTGATTGTGTAAGACATCAGAGCTAAGACAACAAAGAAAGCTAGTAATAACTCCACTGTTTCAGCATAAGTCTTCTTATATTTCCACCTGGACTCACCTGGCTTTCCTGGGAATTACAGTGTCATGAATGAGCCAAAACAATAAAAAAACTTCCACGCACCATTCTCTTGAAACGCATTCCATGATGTCATAAACTAATGTTGAAGGTTTTGTAATCCACTTCTCATATGGCGTTGAGAACTTACTGTAGATTTCTACATCCCTTGTCTAAATAAAATTCCCTCCAAACTACTTCCACCCCCGCTGCCATGACTTTCTAAAACATGTCAGGGTATCTCCCGTATTCAAGGATTTGGTGGTACATGAAACTGCTTCAAGGGAGGTTGCTGTTGGAGCTGCTAGAGATACTTCAAGGAATACGTTTTGGTATACAAAACGGATGCATTCTGGCTGACGACCACTGTAGCAACCTTAACTGTCAGCACAGAGCCTTAATAGTCCGCACAGAGAAAAACTGCAAGAGGGGGAACTTCAATAATCACATGTGATATACAGAATCACCCCTGTTGCTACAGCTGAAGCAGCTGACTGTATTACATATGAAGAAGGTTGTGTAGTTAACATGTGTCGTCACGCTGAAGGCGACACCTTCAGATTTACTTTCCAAATATAAGTAATTGTTCATCAAACATTGACTTGTGACCTGGTTTTAATAAGGAGATCGTAATAATAAGAATATCCCAACAAAGCTGACGGATCTTTGATTTGAGTAAACAATTGCTGAAACAACTGCGCTGAAAAAATGTGGTCGATGAATTGGTTAATTGATTGACCGAAAAATAATCAGCAACTACTTTGACAATCTCTTAATCATTTGAATCAATTGCTGTTTTCCATTTCAATTACCTAGTTAAGCCAATCTTTTGCAGCTTCACTTGCCATGTTATCATATGCACCATTGTCATTGCAGAATGGAGAAGCGATGATTCTGTAAAGCCAGCGTGACATGATAATGCTTATAATAATAATAAAAGCCTGGCAGATTTAGATCCACAATGCCTCTGTGGTGTGTCGGTTGCAAACTACACCTGATTGTTGACCTGATTGTTGAAATGGACTGGATGGCCAGATTATAGCACATGAAATGTCATTACAAAGCTGACGATGCGTGATCGTGATGTTTGCCATTTGGGTGTTTTACAGAAAATGGTATTTATGTATATTTTAAAAAGTTTTAGAATGGCAAAGACATATGATGATGTCTGAAAAAAATAATGTTCTGTTGCAAACAAAGATCTTTAACCATCTTACGCAATGAGTTGCCCTCAGCCAACAGAAGACTTTTTGTGTTCTCACAGCTAACCACACAGACTTTTTTCAATGTAAATATTTGACACTGATCCTAACATGTGAGTAAGTAATCCAATGAGATGGATGATCTAATGCAACAGCTGAGGTGCCGGGGGTATAAGTGCAACAACATATTTCATGCACCAAGTGGAGGGTTAAATTAGTTGCAACTGTAAAACAACCTAAATTCTGTTTTATTAACAATATAGAACGCATTTTATAGCAAATGCCCGTGGAAGTTTTCACATGCCTGATATATCTTTTTACAGTTCCCTTCCCTTTGTCTTCTAGGAATGCAACAGTTGTTGTTGAATGGCACTAACCTCTTTGTAGGACATCCATTTGTAAGGCTGGTTAGGAAGCCGCGAGCCTAAGCAAGGTCCATCACCTGTTGAGCACCACAGTAAAACATCAATGTGGTGTCTGGACAAAACATTATGAAACCGACTGATGAAGAATGAGTCTTTCAAATATATGACCACAACACTGTTAGCAACCCTAATGGTGATTGTACACTCAAACCATGAAGGCTCAAACACTCAAAACAGTCACTTAAAGCAGCTATAATCACTATTTTTATACTGACAATGTGCAATGTAATAATGTAATAACAATGTAATAATGTGAAAAGGGTTGCTCATCGTGATTAACCTACGGAGAATTATCACCTGAATTTGCAGCTCCTCTCTGCTTTATAGTGAGTTTCAGCTCATTATTTCGCTGTCCAGCCAAAACTTTACTGTTTTGGGTCACTTTGAGGCACAGCATGTGTTTTCAGTGAAAAACCTTAAAAAATTCATCATTCATTATACACTACCTGCTCAGTACCAGACAGATGATAGACAGGTGTAGTGGAGGTAAATTGCTGGATATTTCCCTAAGCAGTTAGTAGTGACCAAAAAAAAGAGATAAAAGAGACTGAATATTGGTCTTACATTGATCAGGTGGCCTCAAACGTGACTTGAATTATTATTATTGCAGGTTTAAAGCTTAATTCAGGTTTAAAGCTTAATTCAAGTTTTCCCATTTCAAATTAATTAATCACCTTTTGAAATAAATACATAAATGGAGCACTCTTAACACCGTATTTTGTATGCAAATGCTTGACTTATACTTATGTAACTAATCATTCACTTTGATCAGTCACTTTTTTACGCACTCAAATTTTGATTGGCACGGGTATACATATTCTTAAATAGTAATAGTAAATTAGTATAAATGGTATAATAAGTAAGTCACTCCTGAAGATGCAGGTCTGGTTGGAGCAATATTAGGTAGGAACATCTCTGCATTGTGAGTCAGTCACTTAGTCACTTAAACTCCCGAGAGCCCTGACACTGTTACCGTTAGCAACGATGGCCATCACCTTGACAACCAGAGGACTAATTTTACCTCCAGCAGCAGAGATAGTATGGGAGGTTTTATGGTCAAACCACAGCTTTGTCAGACCCTGAGCTATCTCTGTCCCCAGCGTTGCTCACACGTGTGTAATATTGCCTACATGAAAAAAGTATCACAGAGAGTGTGTGTGTGTGTGTGTGTAGTCTTTTAACTTTACAATCTGTAAACTTCTGTGTGATGACAAAAGAGATTAGATCATACGTACTGGAAGGTCCTGACAAGTATTTTGTGTATTCTTAAATGTGTACTGTGTAAATCTTAGTGTTTCTGAAAAGTTGAAACATGATCCTTTGGTTTGTCCATAAGCTAAATGAAAATGTGCTAATGTAGTGGGCAGTACAATTTGAGCACATTGTCCTTTTAATCAAGAGAAAACAGTAACAATATTTTAAACAATCATTTGCCTAATTATTAACTGAACGCTCCCATGAGGTTTTGACTTACCTTCATCCATGGCTAAGACTCATGGGAGTTGCTGTTACTTTCATTAGCATTCTATAACTTTTTTGTTTAAAATAGTGAAATCCTGACTTTTACTGTAAAATATACTAAGTATGTATGTTCTGCTGCTATGTTGGCCAGGAGACTCTTCTAAAAGATGTTTAATCTCTGTAAGGCACTTTCTTGGTTAAATTATGTAGTTTAGAGGCACTAATTTGGAACAATGTGATTTTGAAAAAAAGAAGTGGACATGTACTTATGTTTTCACATTCCCTCTAAAGGTATATTGACAGGTTATTATTTTCCATTAACTTTTTGATCACAGCTGCTTTGTTGATCCTTAATTACCCTTTCATATTTGACCTATTTCAGGTTTAGTCTGTGCTACATGCTTTTTATCTTCTGTTCTACCTACTGGTATCAAATAACATTATTGATTACATAAAAGTATATGCTGTCATGTAGATATAATAGATAAAGATTAGTATTATAATATGGGCAGAAAAACAAATGAATGAATGAAAGAAACACTCTATGGGGAAAGCTGTTTAAGTCTAAAGTTGAAAAGTCGGCAGGCTTCAGCTCTCTATCTGCATGAACATCTGTCTGTATACACATACAGACAGATGTGTGTGAGTGAGTAATCACTAAATAATGTTTATTTTTCCTCCTGAAATTCTACCCACCAGATATGTGGAGGCCTCTCTGGAAGACCTCATACATGGTCCTGGCGTCATCATGGTAATGAGTCAGCAGCTTGGAGCTGTCGCCCATCATGGACCTGCGACCTCCATCTTCATGCTGACACAAAGTAAGAGAGAGACAAATAATAATTTTTACAACCTTTTGTTAAACTCTTGGGGTGTTGAACAAACACCAAAGCCTGAGAGAGTGAGCGTAAGAAGAAAATTTTTTCCTTGTTCTGTAAATGATAATTGAATGTGAGCTAGGAAAGGCCCTTTTGTTAGCTCACTAATGGATATAAAAATATCTGAGCTGCTGAGTTGATCTGAGCTTTGTTTCATTCCTCGGTGTTTACATTGCTGATGCATTTCTGGTTGCAGAGAGTTCATTTACATTGGCTGGATCAAATTCCTTTTTGCAAATGAGTCGTTTAGGTTGAAGAGATTAGGGAGACTGTAATGTTATGAAACGCATAACAAATGCCAACTTTTCTGAATGTGTTTGTGTGCCTTTGTATGCGTGTATCTGCTTGTCAGATATACAGTCGTTTCTTAGACTGTCGTGTGACTACTTCAAACACCTTTCTCAGGTAAAAATAAGCCTCATAGGTTAGCCACAAAAATCCTCTCAAATGAGTTTCACATTGACAACAAATGCTGCCAGTCTCACCGGTCAGTGAGAAAGCACTTGGCTGTGGTGTGTTTGTGTGAAAAACAGTGTGTGTTTGGTTTGCTTGGGATGGTGGTTAAGGTTATACCAGGACAGTTGTGTAATTACGTTGCACCCACAGCTTGCGAGCATTAAACAAAGAGAGGTTAAACAGAGCAAATTTTTACAATGTTCCTGTGTTTCCATTTTGTATGTAACTTTGTATATATTTGTGATGCTATTAAGATAAAGACAACAACATATTATTATCGTTATTATTAATGATTAAAGATTATAGATTGAAGTTTAAAAGCAAACAAACAAAACTTTTACAAAAAAACAGTACAGTGTATTTAACACCACTTCTGGCTCAGCATTGCTGAGGTCAATGGTCACAAGAATAAGTAGAGTTGCATGTGTGTTTTAGTCCAATACCTTAAAAACCTCTTTCTGTGACTTTGTGACAGTGCATAAGGTGTGTGTAGGTTTGTGAGTGTTACCAGGTATTGAGTCTGTGTGTGTGGCAAGGGTGCAGGTTTTGTTTCAGAAATGGAGGCACACAATGAATTCAGACGTTTTTCAATCAAAATAACACAATGGTTCATATGCATTCCTTAATAATGTCTGTCTAACAAACTAGAAATCATGTATTAACAATGCACCAAACCCTACTTGAAATCACATTTAGTTTCATTGGCAAAGGTCTGACACTTAATGAAAGGGTATCTACATCTTTACTAAACTGTCCTTCACTGCCTTATTTTTTTGATTAGTGCTCAAATCTAGTGTATTCTTAATCAACGTATTAATCAGATTTATATAATCAGATAATTTATTTTTCTGAAATACATGCAGAGGAGATCATGGTAGGGGTGGCAGGTCTCCCTCTCAGGATGCTGTCCCAACAAGCTTCAGCGTTCACATGGTTTGGGCAGCGTGCATGTCGCCTGGCAGGTAAAACCCAGGGCAAAAAAAATAAAACATAAAAACACAAAGCACTCCATCCTGCTCATGAAGCTTATTGATTTGAGTGCAATAACAATTGAAGGTGACCCAAATGAGTGTATCAGCATTTTTTCATCAACTAACTTTTCTCATCTGGATTTTGGCAACTTATGGTAAGACTGCACAGTTCGTGTATTTGCAGTGAGCAAATCAAACTTAAAGTGAAGTTACTTAAGAAGTGATATTCGAATTATCCCCTTGGTGTGTGTGCAAATGAGTCTATCGTTGCTGATATGTGTTTGTGAACGTTTTCACATTCAGCATTTGTGGATGAGACCATCACCGTAATATTCTTATTGAAGTATCTATATATATATATATATATATTTGTGCCCGTGCGAGGGTGTGCTCCATCTTACCGGCACCTCCTCAGACTGGTGTAGCAGGCTGCAGGGTGGCTTGATGGGACGGGGTCTGGTGGCTAACCAGTACGCCAGCACGGCGGTCAAAGCGCCGATGCCCACCAGCGTGGAAGTTGGCAGGGAGCGAAAGAACTGGCCGAGCTCGTCCATCTCCGGTATCCTCAGGCCGCTCATCATCTCCTGGGCCTGCATCTTCTCCATAAGGGTGGAACTCAGCTCTGTGGAAAAGAGGACAATATTTGCTTATGTTTCAAAACTAATTTGTCACTTTTTAATACAGTACAGTAGTAGTATTGCCACAATCAGGGTACTAATTTGACATATATTATTTGTGTTTATTTGTTTCTGTAAAGGTAAACACACAATCAGAAGACGACAATCCAAAATATAATGCAGTAAGTCTCTCAGACATTGTTTATTGCTTTCATTGCTTTTTCTCATTTAAAACCTTTCCTGCGGAGTCAAAACACATGATGTAGTCTCCCCTTTTCTTTTGTGTCTTTGTTCGGTAAAAAAAAACTCTTATAAAGATGACTGTGGAACCTTTTCACCTCATTGATAAATTAATTCATTTGAATTCAGTAATGAACTCCTTGACTTTAATAGCTCCTGTGTTTCAACAGGATTTCTGCTCATGTTCAAAACCTTCTGCATAATCAGAATCCCACATATATGTGTTCTCTGACATGTTGAGAAAAAAGTTGTAATATTACGAGATTATTATCATCATTTAATAAAGTTTCATAATATTCTTTAAGACCATCTGCCTACACCTTTACTAACTGAGAACACTTGTAATGGGCAGTAATCTAACCACAAATCCAAACACATTCATTTCACCTCCGATAGTGCAGTTCACAGTCCCAAACAGAGCAAGGTTGCACTTCAGTTTTTAACGTTAAATGTTTATATTGCAACTACACTGTTACCACTTGATCACAACTATCTGGATCTGGACTCACAGTGTTCATTACTATCACGACGTACCCGGTGTTGCATCATCGATTCGCTCCGCGAGTTGATGTCATCAGTTATACTTTTTTTATATTTGTTTTTCACTATGTGAGAAAAATTATGTGCGACGTGATAGCATGTGGAAAATGTCAATTAAGTGAGTCTGCCAAGACGGCATTTAATCTGACCAGCTCTCGTGACACCCCTGGTCAATACTTATTCAGCACTTTGACTGCTAAGTCAGGTGGGCTGGTTGAGGTATTTAGATAATGGCTTAGAGATTTATGACCCACAAGTGTTGAAAGATAGAAATAATCTGAAAATACATGAATGTAAATAAAGACTATACAGGAGGTAACAGCTAGCCTGGCTCTGTCCAATGTTCAAAAAACACCCATGCCAACTCTAAAGCTCACCAATTACATAAAGTATCTTGTTTGACTTAATTAATGCTCAAACAAATGTGTAAAAATGCTAATTTGACATTTTAAAGGGGGTTCTACAGTAGTTCTTGACGAGTAGCAGTCTATCCATCCAGCCACTGTGCGGTATCTCCCTCAGTAGTGCAAATTGCAAGTAAGACATGTAACTCCCCCTAAAAAATAGTTTTTACATTTCTGTTTATGCATGTACAATTATTTTTCCACTGACTGATTTCTAAAATTCTTAAGTTCTGTGAGCTTATGATACGTAAAAGGCAACTATGTCTGGGCGTTAGTTTTGCAAGTTCCTATTTTTCTGACCTGCATATTTTTGCAGTGCAGGAGGAAAACCACACATGCAATGTTCGCACAGTATTTTCGAAGCAAGTAGCATTTTGAGGGTTCAACGACAAAAAAAGGAAGAGATGTGAGTAGGCTTGCCCAGATGGCGACACTACACAGACAAAACTATACCCTCCTACCAATTTCTCAGGGTTGTGTTTAAACCGCTTTAAGCCAGTCTGTTTCATCTATACATTTGACTTCTACGCTCCTCCGCTCAGATCCTGTGACCTTAAACACATAATTTATGCTTCAAAAAGGGTGAATGAGGAGTCTTCCCACGCATTCTTGCTCTTACTGTAAAAGCAGCTCAGAATAGATAATCTACACTACAGCAATGAGAAGTGGTGGGTCTAGAAAGTAGATAAAACATAGTCATACACACACTCCATGCACAGTGCTCATCAAGGCTCAGCCTCCGTCACACACAGACACACACACACACACACATTGTGAGATGCATAATTTATCTGAGGGGGAGGCAGACTACAGCGCTGACTGGAGGGTTTCCTTCCCTCCCCTGGGAAATGAGTCAGAGACAGCGCCACCTGACCAAACGAATGGCGTTCGGGCACTGCTGCAGCTCAGAGCCAATCAGATTAATTTCCTGTCTGTCCTCTCCACACACACACACACACAGAGCCACCAACATACCGTGAGGCTGATGGGTATAAATATCTGCGGCCGTGAGAACATTGACTTCCTCATTCACCTGTTATTTAGAGTCAAAACACTATATTTTTCACTACTACTTTACTAAATGGAAACAGAATCATATAACCATGTACGCAGGTAAAAGCAAGTTTCAGGAAACCAATGCCTGACTTTTAACATCAATGAAATGTGTTATAACTTATTATTATAATTTGAAAATATTAACATTGAGTTTATTCATTACCAGCACACACCTCTATTTGCATTGCCCCAATGCTCAAGTGTTCATGTGAATCATTTCTACATGACACACGCGCAAACACGCGCACGCATGCTGTCAGCAGGCATCACATCACCTGTCACCATCTACAGTCATTTGTAAAGCAACATTTGACACCAAATTTACATGCTATAAGACAGCTATTGCTCATCACCTCCACTGCACAGTACAGTCAGCTGCTCTACAGTGAATTCCCTGACGCTGCTTTCCCAAACTCTTCTTGGGCTTGAATCCTCATAATTCAACTTAACTCGAGTTTCGGTTCAGACAGGAACTATCACCTGTAATTGAAAAACCACCGCATGACAGATCCCTCGAATGTGTCTGAAAACAGTACTGTTTCTTTAACACTGCAGGACTCGCCGCTTCCCTTTTACTGCATTGATCAGATATTTCCTCTTTTTCTGCTGTCCTTTATTCTGCAGTACAAGTAATCTTGATGGGAAATTAAAGCTGCTCAAGTGCTGGGAAATGTTGAGAATGATGGTAAATAATAGAAACCACTAGATGATGGTTCTGGAGTAAACAACTATTCATCGGCATGTGTATGGACGTTGAAGCAGTAACAATGTCAATGTTATTCAGGGATATAAAGTTGTGCCCTGTTGAGTACACAGAGTAGCCCACTGTGCTCGGCTGGAATTTATCCGACAGTTAGACTTAATTACTGTAAAGACCTGACAAATTGAAAATCTGGCACAGCTTCAGGTATTTGGAATGAACTCTCATACATTTTCTTGACACCATAACATCTAAAACGTCAAGTTAAAAATGTTAAACATGGCAAAACATTGGGAACAGAAAGGCAGCACCCTTAGAGAGATAATCACATCTGTACCGCATTCAGTATTCTGTAATATGCATTATATTGCACATCCTATAATTTAATTCAACTCTATTATATAAAATATTTTATCATTATTTATTATTATTTTTAAAAGGAATTGTTTAATATTTTAGGAACTGTGCCTATTCACTTTCTTAAATGAGGTGTTCGATATCAGTCTTGGGCCTTTGTGATAAATATGGAGCTGGAGCTGGGACAGGGTTAGCATAGCTTAGCACAAAGCCTGTAAACTGGGGATAACAACTAGCCAGAAAGAGAGAGAGAAAGAGAGAGCAAGGGAGAAAGCGGGAGAGAGGGCGATAGGGAGAGGGATAAGCAGCCAACACAAAATCCATACAGAAATACTAGGACCAAACAACAACACTTTAATTAGTCAGCTTTAGAGTTGTTGGTGTGGCTGTTTTTATGCTAAGCTAGGCTAACCATGTCCTGACCCCACTTCTGTACTTAACACACAGACATGGGATAACAGCAAGAAAAGACAAAACAAAAATAATGCTGATTTACACAAATATACCTTATTTTCTATATTATACATATCTTCCTTAATTGTGTTGTCCCACGACTAGCTGATATGAAACAGTTCTGATGGGAAGATCAATGATAAATCACCAACCAGCCAGGCAGGCAGCACAACTCACAGACAAGATCATTTCCATTTCAGTGTTGTGCCAACAGGACATGAACAGCTGAACCGTATAATAAAAAAAACCCTAATCCCCCTGCTATCATAGACAGATCAACATTAACAAAAGCCACTATGTTTACCTCCTCTGGTACGAAAACCGTAATCTGACCGGTTCTACAACTGTAGAGTAAGTGTGGAGGTTTATGATAATAAATGAATTTAATCTTTATCATGATCACTTCTGAGATGATTGAGGCCTTTCTGTTTAAGAGAAATATGTTAAGACTACACACAACCACTAAGCAAACTACGATTTGCTCATAGTTAAAGCTGAAAAAACACATGCAAATACTCTTACAGAGACACACTGACTTGCTAAAGGAGGATGCTTTTAGGTTTAGGTAAAACTTCCAAGTCAAAACCTGTTGTGATTTTGATAACACTGGAAGGAGGGACACATTTGAGCAATGGTCTTTGTCATGTTAAGGGTCTCACTCGTCCAAATTGTGGTGAAACTTTGAGTATGTTGCCACTGACTGATGTTTATTTACTTGCTTTGTCTGCTTTTTGCCCTGCATGCTTGATTGATTTTGTAATCAAAGTAAAGTTCACATGAGCCATCATGCCTCACTGTGGGAATACTTTAATCAGAAGTGGACCGCTTGGATGACATAATTGTGATGTAGCTCACTGCTTGTGCTTTGTGTTGTGTTGAATGGCTATTGTGGCTTGGCTGCAGTGATGGCAGAGCCACAGTGGATTAGTCGTTATTAGAAAAGAGAGGCAGAGGAGGGCAAACAGCACTCGACCAGATCTAAATATAGACTCCATAACCTAATGACACTACTGTGTGGATAGCTGGGTTTGGCTTAACTCAACTTGCACGAGTAAAAAAGATAATTTATTGAGTTGTGTACAAACACAAACACGTGAACAAACTTCGGATCTGGATTGTAGAGTCAGTAACACATCATTTTATATTGAATTTTAATGGTGTTATTTATCCTTTGAAGCTGTTTAAAAGTATCCTGTTGGTCTGTAAATATACAGTATATAACGTGTAAAACGAGGCGCCATCTCTGCAATGCTAG